CCCTCCCGGCCGGGCCGGGCGCCGCCTCCCCGCCTCCACAGGTGAGTCCGTGGGAACGCTCCCGGCCGGCCGTTCCCTGGGGACGGTGGTGAGCTCACCCCTTCATCTGGCGTTTACGGGGCCTCTCCCGTCGGGGCCCTGCCCCGCAGCACGCCCACCCGCCACGCGTGTGTCATGGGCACTGCAGCACGCCCACCCGCCACGCGTGTGTCATGGGCACTGCAGCACACCCACCCGCCATGCGTGTGTCACGGGCACTGCAGCACGCCCACCCGCCACGCGTGTGTCACGGGCACTGCAGCACGCCCACCCGCCACGCGTGTGTCACGGGCACTGCAGCACATCATGTCCGCGCCGCCCGCCCTCCCGTGGGCGGGGGGAGACGGCCCTCCCCGGGAGCCGATGCCAGGAGGAGGCCCTGCTCTGGTGAGGAGCCTTCTGAGACCAGCCCTGGACACGGCCACAAGCCGTCGTGGCCGAGGGGATTGAAAGCTCTGGTGCATCGACTCCGAGCGGCCAGATGACGATGATCTCCAAATGCATGATAACGAGGCCACTCCGTGTGAGTGCGTGTGTGTGCGTGCGTGTGCGTGCGTGCGTGCATGTGTGTATGTGTGTGTGAGGCCCGGTGCATGAATTCGTTCATGGGTTGGGTCTGGCCAGCCTGGCCAGGGGGAGAAGACATGGGCGTGTTTGACATTAACCCCTGGACTGCTAACCTCTTACCCGCACACGTCTAAAGAACTGGGAGCCCTGGGGGGCCGTTTCTAGTCACAAAGCGCTCTTCAGGACCCTCACGCTTGCTCTGACACTGTGATGTCATAGTGAGGTAATGAAGACTGACACTGTGATGTCACAGTGAAGATACTATCGCACATCTAGTGAGTGGAAATGTACATTCTGCAGCAAAAGGCAAACATATTTTATCACTTTAAAGTATTTAAAAATATATTATTGATTTTTAGAGAGAGGAAGGGAGAGGGAGAGAGAGAGAAACATTGATGTGAGAGAGAAACATTGATTGGTTGCCTCCTGTATGTACTCTGGCCCGGGATCGAGCCCAAAACCTGGGCATGTGCCTGGACTGGGAATCGAACCCACATGTCTTTCTCAGATTGATGTTCCTCCCTCTCTCTCTGTTTCTCCTTCCCTCCCTCCTTTTCTCCCTCCCTCCCTCCCTCCCTCCCTCTCTCTCTAAAAAAATCAATGGAGAAATGTCCTTAGGTGAGGATTAGCAAAAAGCAACAACAAAAACACAAATCAGCCGAAACCGGTTTGGCTCAGTGGTAGAGCGTCGGTCTGCGGACTGAAAGGTCCCAGGTTCGATTCCAGTCAAGGGCATGTACGTTGGTTGCGGGCACATCCCTGGTGGGGGGTGTGCAAGAGGCAGCTGGTTGATGTTTCTCTCTCATCGACGTTTCTAGCTCTCTATCTCTCTCCCTTCCTCCTCTCTGTGAAATATCAATAAAATATATTGTATTAAAACAAACAAACAAACAAAAACACAAATACATAATTATCAGCAGGGTTATATTTTTAAAACATGTTGTTATGAAATTACAAATACATGTACTAGTACAATAAAAATGCACTTTTAATTTAAAATAATAATAAAACAATAAACACACATTTACAAATAGTGTCAGGAAAATTCCCTGGGAGGCTCTCAACACTGAGTCTCGCTGGAGGCCTGGGAGGCGGAGGAGGCCGGGGTGTGTGTGTGTGTGTGTGTGTGTGTGTGTCTCTGTAATGTCCATACGTTTCATTTCAGAGGGACCGGGGTGGGGGGCCCAGCAGGATGCGGTGCTCACGGCTGTGGGTTTGGGGCCGGGAAGCTGCCTCGGTTTGCCGTGTTTCTCTCTGTGACCTCATTTCTTTCTCGTGTTTGAGTGGCTCCGGGAACCCATCGTCTCAGGAGGCCAGAGAGGTCCCCGGGGCAGAGGCATCCGCCACCAGGGACAGGCCTTCCATTAAGCCAGAGAGCAGGTGGCGTGGAGCTGGAGGCATAAGGGAGACGGGGTGCTGCGGGCTGGGGGAATGGGGTGCTGCGGGCTGCGGGAATGGGGTGCTGCCGGCTGGGGGAATGGGGTGCTGCGGCTGGGGGAATGGGGTGCTGCGGGAATGGGGTGCTGAGGGCTGGGGGAATGGGGTGCTGTGGGCTGGGGGAATGGGGTGCTGCGGGCTGGGGGAATGGGGTGCTGAGGGATGGGGGAATGGGGTGCTGAGGGCTGCGGGAATGGGGTGCTGCAGGCTGGGGGAATGGGGTGCTGAGGGATGGGGGAATGGGGTGCTGAGGGCTGCGGGAATGGGGTGCTGCGGGCTGGGGGAATGGGGTGCGGCGGGAATGGGGTGCTGAGGGCTGGGGGAATGGGGTGCTGAGGGCTGGGGGAATGGGGTGCTGAGGGCTGGGGGAATGGGGTGCTGAGGGCTGGGGGAATGGGGTGCTGCGGGAATGGGGTGCTGTGGCTGAGGGAATGGGGTGCTGTGGCTGAGGGAATGGGGTGCTGTGGGCTGCGGGAATGGGGTGCTGTGGGCTGGGGGAATGGGGTGCTGAGGGCTGGGGGAATGGGGTGCTGAGGGCTGGGGGAATGGGGTGCTGAGGGCTGGGGGAATGGGGTGCTGCGGGCTGGGGGAATGGGGTGCTGAGGGATGGGGGAATGGGGTGCTGAGGGCTGCGGGAATGGGGTGCTGCAGGCTGGGGGAATGGGGTGCTGAGGGATGGGGGAATGGGGTGCTGAGGGCTGCGGGAATGGGGTGCTGCAGGCTGGGGGAATGGGGTGCTGAGGGCTGCGGGAATGGGGTGCTGCAGGCTGGGGGAATGGGGTGCTGCAGGCTGGGGGAATGGGGTGCTGTGGGCTGGGGGAATGGGGTGCTGTGGCTGGGGGAATGGGGTGCTGTGGGCTGGGGGAATGGGGTGCTGAGGGAATGGGGTGCTGAGGGATGGGGGAATGGGGTGCTGAGGGAATGGGGTGCTGAGGGATGGGGGAATGGGGTGCTGAGGGAATGGGGTGCTGAGGGATGGGGGAATGGGGTGCGGCGGGAATGGGGTGCTGCAGGCTGGGGGAATGGGGTGCTGAGGGCTGCGGGAATGGGGTGCTGCAGGCTGGGGGAATGGGGTGCTGCAGGCTGGGGGAATGGGGTGCTGTGGGCTGGGGGAATGGGGTGCTGTGGCTGGGGGAATGGGGTGCTGCGGGATGGGGGAATGGGGTGCTGTGGCTGGGGGAATGGGGTGCTGAGGGCTGGAAGAATGGGGTGCTGCGGGCTGGGGGAATGGGGTGCTGTGGGCTGAGGGAATGGGGTGCTGTGGGCTGGGGGAATGGGGTGCTGAGGGCTGGGGGAATGGGGTGCTGTGGGCTGGGGGAATGGGGTGCTGAGGGCTGGGGGAATGGGGTGCTGTGGCTGGGGGAATGGGGTGCTGAGGGCTGGAAGAATGGGGTGCTGAGGGCTGGGGGAATGGGGTGCTGTGGGCTGGGGGAATGGGGTGCTGCGGGCTGGGGGAATGGGGTGCTGAGGGATGGGGGAATGGGGTGCTGTGGGCTGGAGGAATGGGGTGCTGAGGGATGGGGGAATGGGGTGCTGTGGGCTGGAGGAATGGGGTGCTGAGGGATGGGGGAATGGGGTGCTGAGGGATGGGGGAATGGGGTGCTGAGGGATGGGGGAATGGGGTGCTGCGGGAATGGGGTGCTGAGGGCTGGGGGAATGGGGTGCTGTGGGCTGGGGGAATGGGGTGCTGCGGGAATGGGGTGCTGTGGGCTGGGGGAATGGGGTGCTGAGGGCTGGGGGAATGGGGTGCTGCGGGAATGGGGTGCTGTGGGCTGGGGGAATGGGGTGCTGTGGGCTGGGGGAATGGGGTGCTGCGGGCTGGGGTGCTGCGGGGCGGCCGTGAGGAGCAGAGGGGTGCAGGTGGGGCCGGTGACCGGCGGCCGCCCTGCCTGGTGCCGGAGAGAGGCCGGAGCGCTCGTCCCTCACGCCGAGGGGTCTCCCCGCCCACACCCTGCGGGCCCCTCACTCAGAGGATGCGGGAGGCAGCCAGGCGGACAGGAGAGCCCTCCAGCCTGGCGGGCAGAGCGGGCCTGGGGAGCGTGTGCAGGAGGGAAACGCGGACGGGGCACAGGGGCCCCCATTTCTCCCACGGCCTCCCCGCTGCCCGACGGGAGGCGCCGGAGTGTGGGGCGAGGGCCCGGCCACCGGTGCCGGGGCGGGCGGGCCCTCACGGCTGTTATTCTGTCGCGGTGGCACCTCCGTCTGAGAGGAACAAAGCTTCCCCTTCCCACGTCTCCCCCGGACCCACCCCAGCGCTCCCTCACGCTCAGCCTGTGCACACGCAGGAACGGAACGTTCCAGAAGCGACTGCTTTTGTTTCTTCTTTTCCGAGGGACACGTTTACGAGCATCATGAGTGATTCACCAGCATCCTGCGGGGTGCCCAGTGGCTCCCATGGAAACGCCCTAGTCAGGAGGGCGGGCTGGGGGCACCCACTCACCCCCCCCCCGGGAGCCGGGTGCTCGCCGCCCGGGGCGGGCGCGGCCGGGCAGGCAGGAGCGTCGGATGTTAAAACGTCATTTTTTAAAAGCAGAGCCAGCTGGAGACGCGTCACCGTCTAATGGAGTGAGGAGCCGCCTGCCGGCCCGGGTGCGAGTTTGGAGGATGTAATGGGGTCTGAGCGTCCCGCCCTGTGATGAGCTATGCGCTCGTCCTGGCTCAGGCAGCGTGGGCCCGCCCGCCGACCGGGTTCTGTCAGGCAGGGACCGCGGACAGAGCGGCTGGGGGCTTTGGGATAAAGCGGGTGAATTCCGGGTCCTTAAGGGCCTCGTCCGTGACAGCCCCCAGCTCCATTCCCCCGAGTCAATCCGGACAGAACCCCGGACCCTCAGCGGGCACATGGGCGCCAGCAAGATTGGTCGCCCTTCTAACCTCCTCCTCCTCCCCCTCCTCCTCCCCCTCCTCCTCCTTCCCCTCCTCCTCCTCCCCCTCCTCCTCCCCCGCCTCCTCCCCCTCCCCCTCCTCCTCTCCTCTCCCCTCCTCTCCTCCTCCTCCTCTCCTCCTCTCCTCCTCCTCCTCCTCTTTCCTCCTTCTCCTCCTCCCTCCTCCCCTCCTCCCCCTCCTCCTCCTCCCCTCCTCCCCTCCTCCTCCCCTGCCTCCCCCCTCCTCCTCCCTCCTCCCTCTCCTCCTCCCTCCTCCCTCCCCCTCCTCCTCCCTCCTCCCTTCATCCTCCTCCCTCCTTCTCCTCCTCCCCCTCCTCCTCTCCCCTCTCCCCTCTCTCCTCCTCCCCCTTCTCCTCCTCTCCATCCTCCTCCCCCTCCTCTCCCCCCTCCTCCCCCTCTCTCCCCCTCCTCCTCTTCCCCTCCGCCCCCCCTTCCTCCTCCCTCTCCCCCCCCCTCCCTCTCCTCCTCCTCTCCTCCCTCCTCCCCCCTCCCCTCCCTCTCCTCCTCCTCCCCCTCCCCTCCTCCTCCCCCTCCTCCCCCCCCTCCCTCTCCTCCCTCTCCTCTCCTCCCCCTCCCCCTCCTCCCCCCTCTCCCTCCCCTCCTCCTCCCCCTCCTCCTCCTCCTCCTCTCCTCCTCCCCTACTGCCCCCTCAATCCTCCTCTCCTCTCCCCCCTCCTCCTCCCCTCCTCCCTCTCTCTCTCCCCCATTAATCCAAAGTATTTGTTCCTCGTTCTTGGGCCACGAGGTGAGGCCGCCTTCACTGTAGACAGACCATGGAGGTCTGGGCGGTCCGGGCCGAGCCCCGGGGAAGGGACCAGGCTCCGGGGCGGCTCCCGTGTGCATCCACCTGAGGTTCCGTCCGGGCTGTGACCGTGGACCTGCGGCCCCTCAGCGGGCAGGCAGGCGGGTGCCGGGAGCCGGGCTCTGCCTGCGGGGGCCGGGGGCCCGGTCAGCTTCGCTCCGACCTCCCTGGGCCTCAGGAGGGCCATGTGGGCCGCTCTGCGACTCCGTTTCTCCGGTGGCTGACGGGGCCGTGGAGCCCCTGGAGCACCCTCCCCCGAGCCCTCTCAGACCCCCCACGGAGCCCCCGGAGCCCCCTGGAGCCCTCTGAGCCCCCCCCCTGGAGCCCCCTGAGCCCCCCCCGAGCTCCCCGGAGCCCTCTGAGCCCCCCCCCCGGAGCCCCCCGAAGCCCCCTGGAGCCTTCTCCCCCAAGCCCTCCTGAGCCCCCCAGAACCCCCTGAGCCCCCCCCCGAGCTCCCCGGAGCCCCCTCCCCCGAGCCCTCTGAGCCCCCCACGGAGCCCCCGGAGCCCCCTGGAGCCCTCTGAGCCCTCCTGAGCCCCCTGAGCTCCCCGGAGCCCCCCGAGCTCCCCGGAGCCCTCTGAGCCCCCCTGAGCCTCCCCATGCTCCTTGGAGCCCCCTCACTCTCCTGAGCCCCCCCCCCGAGCTCCCCGGAGCCCCCTGACTCTCCTGAGCCTCCCTGAGCTCCCCGGAGGCCCCTCCCCCGAGCTCCCCGGAGCCCCCCCGAGCCCCCCTGAGCCTCCCCGGAGCCCCCTCCCCCGGGCCCCCCTGAGCCCTCCGGAGCCCCCCAAACCCCCCTGAGTCACCCTGAGTCACCCGGAGCCCCCCGGAGCCCCTGAGCCCCCCAAAGCCCCTCCTCCGAGCCCCCCGGAGCCCCTGAGCCCCCCGGAGCCCTAAGCCCCCGCTCCCGGCCCCGCTCCCGAGCAGCCGCTCCTGGAGTGCCAGTCGGGTTAAGGCAGTAACTGCAGCTTCGGCTGCGCTCGTCCTCCCACCGAGAAAGTCAGCACCGAACGGCGAGCGCGCAGACAGCCCAGACCGGCGTCCTCACAGCCAGGCTGCCGCAAACACGCGAAGCCCAACCTCAGCCAGGCGTCCGGGTGAGCACAGGGCGCGCCCTCCACGCGGCCCCCGGCCGGACGCCGGACCCAAACCCGATCCCGGGGAGGAAGTGAGCGCCTCGCCAGGACCCGGTGCCATCGGCTCCGTGCGTGGCCGGCGGGAGCCACGTGGGCAGGCCCGGGTCCCACGTGGGCAGGCCCGGGTCCCACGTGGGCAGGCCTGGGTCCCACGTGGGCAGGCCCGGGTCCCACGTGGGCAGGCCCGGGTCCCACGTGGGCAGGCCCGGGTCCCACGTGGGCAGGCCTGGGTCCCACGTGGCCGGCGGAGCCACGTGGGCAGGCCCGGGTCCCACGTGGCTGGCGGAGCCACATGGGCAGGCCCGGGTCCCACGTGGGCAGGCGGGAGCCACGTGGGCAGGCCCGGGTCCCACGTGGGCAGGCGGGAGCCACGTGGGCAGGCCCGGGTCCCACGTGGGCAGGCGGGAGCCACGTGGGCAGGCCCGGGTCCCACGTGGGCAGGCCCGGGTCCCACGTGGCCGGCGGGAGCCACGTGGGCAGGCCCGGGTCCCACGTGGCCGGCGGAGCCACGTGGGCAGGCCCGGGTCCCCCGGACACGGGGACGGGCCCCGATGGGGGAGCCACTTGATGGGCGGGTGCAGAGGGGACCGGCTGAGGAGCGGGCGCTGGCCGGCAGGGTCGCCGGGAGGGGGCGGGAGGCGAAGGGGTGCAAAGCGGGGTCAGGTCCCTGCAAACCGAGGCTGAGGCCACGGGCCCGGCCGGCCGGCCGGGGAGAAGCTGGGAGGACTCGGGGCTTCTCTGGGGGAGTGCCCTGGGGGTCCGGTCCGGGCTCGGGTCCGGGCAGGTCGGGGGGAAGTCACTGGTCTGAGAAACGGAAGGTCGAGGTGAAGACGTCCTGTGACGTGGCCCATGGGTTAGCGCCCGGGGCAGGGCCTGGGCCCATGATGGGATCCGACCCGACGCCAATGCGGAGCTGCCGGCACGGGGTGGAGGGGGTGGGGTTGGGGGGGCAGAGGAGTGAACAGGGGTGGTGGAGGGGTTGGGGGGGAGGGAAGAGAGGTGGGGGTGGGGTGGGGGTAGGGGAGTGGAGAAGGTGGTGGGGGGGTTGGGGGGGAGGGAAGACGGGTGGGGGGCAGTGGTGGGTTTGGGGGGGCAGGGGAGTGAACAGGGGTGGTGGTGGAGGGGGTTGGGGGGGAGGGAGGAGGTGGGGGGCAGTAGGGTTGGGGGGGTAGGGGGAGTGGAGAGGGGTGGTGGAGGGGGTTGGGGGGGGGGAGGGAGAGAGGCGAGAAGTGGGGGGAAGTGGGTTGGGGGGGTGAGGGGGAGTGGAGAGGGGTGGGTGGGGTGGGGTGGGGTGTTGGGGGGGGGGGAAGAGGGGTGGGGGGCAGTGGGGTGGGGGGTAGGGGTGAGTGGGGTGGTGGTGGGTGGGGGTGGGGGTTAGGGGAGTGGAGAGGGTGTGGGTGGGGGTGGGGGTTGGGGGGTGGTAGGGGGAGTGGAGGGGGTGGGGGGGGGGTAGGGGATGGAGAGAGCTGGGGGGTGGTTTGGGGGTGGAGGTGAATGAAGGGGTGGTGTGGAGTGGGTGGAGGGGACAGGGGAGGGAACAGGGGTGGTGGTGGGGGTTGGGGGTGTAATGAGAGGGTGGAGGGCGGTTGGGGGGAGGGGGAAGAGGGGTGGGGGGCAGTGGGGTTGGGGGGTAGGGGTGCTGCGGGCTGGTGGGGGTGGGGTTGGGGGGTAGGGGAGTGGAGAGGGGTGGTGGGGTGGGGGTGGGGGTGGGGGGGAGGGAAGAGGGGTGGGGGCAGTGGGGTTGGGGGGGTAGGGGAGTGAAGAGGGGTCCATGCAGTCCGGAGCCGGACAGGCTCTCGGCCCTCAGACTCGGGGAGGGTGGGGATCGGCCGTGAGGGAACCAGGAGGAAGTGAGCCGGCGCCCTAAGTGCCTCCGGATTAAGGGCAATTGGAGCGTGACGGCTGCCCGTGACCCCCACGCCGGCCCCGTCACCCCATAAACAGCGGGAGGGCCCCCATCACACCCCGGCGCTGGCATATAACGTGGCCTCGGACCACGGCACCGCACTCCGACCTCTGCCGGCTCCTCTCGCCGACCTGCCTCGATCCATCGCCATGTCCCTCAGCGGCTGTCCCAGGACCCTCTGCTCCGGCTCCCTCGGGGGCCCCCAGTGCACCGCGGGCCCCTCCTGCAGCTCCCACCCCAGCAACCTGGTCTACAGCTCGGCCCCCTGCGCCCCCAGCCTCTGCCCTCGGGGCCCCTCTCCCCCCAGGGGCCGCCAGGGGACCTGCCGGGAGCCCCCCAGCTGCCCGACGCCCCCCGGCTGCCCGACGCCCCCCAGCTGCCCGACGCCCCCCAGCTGTGGCCTGAGAGTCCCCTCGCCCTGCCGTGGCCCCAGGACCCCCTCGCCCTGCCGTGGCCCCAGGACCCCCTCGCCCTGCCGTGGCCCCAGGACCCCCTCGCCCTGCTGTGGCCCCAGGACCCCCTCGCCCTGCTGTGGACCGAGGATCCCGAGGACCCCGATGTCCTGCTGTGATCCGAAGACCCCCGTGCTCTGCGGTCCCAGCAGGACCTGCCCTGGGGCTCTGGGCTGTGGGTCCCCGGGCGCCAGGCCCCTGGGTGGCGGGGCCTGTGGCTCCGTCCTCTGAGCCATGGGTGTGGATGCTGCTGCCCCGGAGTGGCCTGTGTCCATGCTGCTGGCCTGCCCGGGGAGCCGACCCCCAGCGCCTGCTCCCCCCTCTCTGACGGTCTCCTGCCTGACCAGCTCTTCAACCAGCGAATCAACGCCTGTCGCACCTGCGGCCGCAGCCGTGGCTCCGAAGCAGCCGGTCCCACTGCGTCCCTTCTCCCGCCAACGGGTGGGGTCCCCGCTCCTCCGACCCAATAAACTCCTCTGCATCTGACACCGGCTCTTGTCGTCCTTATTGGTTTCCAAAGTTTGGTTTGTGATAGGCCTTGGGCTGCCTGCTGGCCTCTGGAGCCGGCATTCCCTCTGAGAAGGCGCGAGGCCTGGGTTGTTTTTTTCCCCTGTGAATTCTCACCCAGGGATATGGTTTCCATGGATTTTAGAGAGCATAGCAGGGAGGGAGACAGACAGAGAGAAGCACCCACGTGAGAGAGACACAGCGATTGGCTGCTTCCTACTTGTGCCCTGACCACCAGGATGGAGCCTGCAAGCCAGGTGCTGCCCTTGACCAGAATCGAACCCGCAACCTCCCATCCTCAGGCTGACACTCTGACCGCGGAGGAAAATGAGCAGGGCCTTCCTTCAACCGGTTTGCTCCTCAGCTTCACACACGCGTCTGAGACGCTGGGAGCTCAGGAAAGACCAGGACATTCGTCTTGGGAGAGTGAGTTCACGTTGAGGGAGAGATACATTTTCCTGCGCGAACAGGCGGTGAGGGTAGCTGTGCAGAGGGAGCATCCGGGCAGTGGGAGAACAGGACTCAGGGCTCAGGGCGGAAAGAGACCTGCCACCCTGTTTCCCCGAAAATAAGACAGTGTCTTATATTAATTTTTTCTCCCAAAGTTGTGCTAGGTCTTATTTTCAGGGGATGTCTTATCTTTCCATGCACTAGGTCTTATTTTCGGGGAAACACGGTATTAACGCGGGATAACTGGGGCTCCAGAGGGAAAAGACCGAGTGGGGACTAAGAGAGGGCCCACCCAGCCCCAGCGTGGAGGAACAGGCAGTGACACTGCTGGCAGAGGTGCCCAGCCTCGTGTCCGGGTGACGAGATGTCAGAGATGAAAACCAACCTTCACACTAACATACGGGGGGTCCTGGGCTCATGCTGCTCTTGGGGAGCAAAATTCAAGGGCTCACTCATGTGGCTGGGCCTCACTCGTGTGGCTGGGCCTCACTAGTGGCCATGAACTGTCTCATGAAATGCTAATGGAGGAGGGGGGTGGAGAGCTCAGGTGTGCGGACTGTCATTGGTGAGGGAATGTGTTAGTGTTTAAATTCGAATACTTTGTGAAGCTACTTAAAAGAAAGCCCCTGTAAGCAGGCCTTCCCAGCATGCACTGGGATTTCCCTTCACTGTCCCTCAGGGATCTCTCATCCATCCATCCACCCATCCATGCGTCCATCCATCTATCCACCCATCCATCCACCCATCCATCCACCCACCCACCCATCCATCCACCCATCCATCCATCCATCCATCCATCCATCCATCCATCAATCCATCCATCTACCCATTCATCCATCTACCCATCCATGCATTTACCTATCCATCCATCTATCCACCCATCCATCCATCATGTCTCTATTACCCATCTATCTATCTATCTATCTATCTATCCATCCATCTACCTATGTATGTATTGTCTGTCATCTATCTATTAATATCTATCTAATCTATCTATCATCTGTCTATCATGTACTTACGTATTGTCTATCATCTCTGTCTATCATCTCTCTAATACCCACCACCCACTTAAACATTGCTTTCACGCTGTGGTCCTCTGGGCAGTGTTATCTCCGCCTTTGACTCGGGGACCTCTTCAGCCACCACCCCCCCCTGTACATGTTAATGAGGCCCCGTAGGCGTGATGCCCACCTCATCACGGGACGGCTCTCGGTGACCTCACTTTGGCACTTTCTACGTGTCAGCGATTTCCAATGCGCAGTGTCCAGTGTGCCTTGAGGAAACGATGTGGTGTTTATTTCCCACTTCGAAGCGCAGCCCGAGGGCCGTTAAAACGCTGCCCACACAAACCCGATCTCAGATCACGTCCCCAGCGCTCTGGCCGCCATGCATCTCAGCAAACACAATGGCAGCGGAAGCGCCGGGCAGAAGGACCAGCCGGGATTGGTTCTGGCAGAGTGTCTGGGGGTCGGTGCTTCCTGTTTCCTTCACACACCATCTCCGTCCCCGTTCGGACATCAGTGCGTGCTTTATGACAAGGCGTGCGCGCTGGGGAAGGAGAAAAACACCACACGGCAGAGGACAGGCACGCTCCCCGTGAGCAACCGAGAGGGCGAATTCACCCCGGTGACCGCCGTGTGGCCGGACGCGGACCTGCAGGCCGCGGCCATCGAGCACACGGAGTGCTTGTGACGGCTCCACCGACTGGCCTGGAGTCAGTCTGCATGACCCATGTCAATAGGCATCCTTCCCATCGCCTCCAAGGTGTGTGTGTACCTGTGTGCGCACGTGCATGCATGTGTACATGTGCATGTGTGTGTGTGTGAATGCCAGAGTGTGTGTAGGTATGTGTGCCTGAGAGTGCCTGTGTGTACATGTGTGTGCACATGCACATGTATCTGTGCATGTGTGTGCAGCTTGTGAGTACCTGAGTGTGTATGTGTGTCTGTGTCTGTGTACACACATGTGTGAATTGTGCGTGTCTGTGTTTACACATATATGTATTTGTGCATGTGTGAGCATGTATGTTTACACGTGTGCCTGTGTGCATGAGCATGTGTGCAGTCACCCAGGTGGACAGCTGATGAGACTCTGACCCTCCTGGGGACAGAGAGCTGGGGGCACACACTGTCGGTGGTGCACACGAGGTGTGATGGTGGCACTGGGTGTGAGGAGGAGGGTGTGCCAGCGTGAGCCGTGCACCGGGAGGGATTGTGTGAGCAGCACAGACAGCCCCCGGAGCCAGGCGAGCAGAGACAGAAGACTGGAAAGTGCAGTTCTCTGAAGCAAACGGGAAAGACCGAGGACACACTCGCCTCTCGCCCCATTCCAAAGCCGCCCAGGGGAAGTGGGTGTGGGAAGTGGGGGACACCGCTGATCCCAGCAGTTTCTCCCTGCCTTTGGGTTTCCATGGTGACCAGGATCCTGTCCCACCGGGTCTGCAGGCGGGTTCCCTGCAGGGTCCCCCCCAAGGCTGAGCAGAGAGAATGGGGGGCAGGATCTCCTGTGGGGTCCCTCTCCCCCGAGGTCTGCGACAGGACCCAGTGGAGTCCAGGTGTTTGCGGACGGATCGCCCTGGGGTCGCCCCGCCAGGTGCACCCCGTTCGCGGTGACCTGGGGTCGCCTCAGTGTTTGCACAGAATTCCCGCCCTCCCCCGCTCCCCCCGGGCTGGGAGGGCGCCTGGCCAGGAGGACTCCCGAATGGAGGACTCCCAGCAGAGCGGCCACAGCGTCTCCGTGGCGACCGTGGAGATGCAAACACAGCTGAAGGCCCCAGAAGCCTCCTCCTCGGCTTTGGGGGGGAGGGACTAAGAGAAGGGGCTCCATCAGCAAGCATGTCCGGGGACACGCCGTGCACCGCCCGGACAGGCCCTGTCGCCGGCGCCCACACGGCAGCCGGCGGCCTGGGAGCTGACACGCGGGGCCTGGGGTGGAAAGCCGTGTCCGGGGCGGGGCAGGCTTTACACGTCCACGCCACAGAACACACGTGATGCACAGGGGGCTCGTGCGGGAGAGTCCGTGGCCGGTCAGTGTTCACACTCACCTCAAAAGCCCCACGTCCAGCTCAGGACGGGGCGGCATGAGGGGGCTGTCTCGTGACAGGCACACCCCTCTCCGGAGGGAGAAGAGGAGAGGCGGCTGCACAGCAGAGACGGCAGTGACGCCTGTGAGCGTGTTCGGTGGTAATTAGCGACGATTACAGCCCAGGGTACGAGCGACTTTCATGACCAGACTCGCCCTGCACGGGGTGGGGTGAGCATGGGGAGGGAGAGCGCAAGACTGAGGCAGGAGAGACACGCTGAAGGTCACAGTTTGTGGACTTTGGTTAGGACCCTTGTATTTAACTGCTGGTTATGACAGTGCCCTTGTCCTCTGTCACTGCGGGTACATCTGCAGCAAACGCCGAGAGTCCGCCCCCTGGTGGTTTGGCGGTAATCACGCCAGGACCAGAGGCCAGGGAACTGCTGTCTTTGGTAGGAACGTGTCCCTCCCCCTGAGGATGCCCGCTGCCCCGCTGTTCCTCAGGCTCCGTGCCCCTCACTCCGGCGCCTGCAGTTTCACGGGAACGGCTGCCAGGTGACCAGTGGCCCAGCCACACCATCCCCGCCCCAGCCGGGTTCCTCCCTCCACACACCCAGCCCAGCCTGGACATCGGCGCGGGCACTCCCTCCGACCCACAGGCAGGGGGCAGAGCAATGGGCCTGGGTGCCTCGTCCGGAGCGGAGCGCCTGGCGGGCGGGGGCGGCCTGGGCTTCGGAGCTGCTGTGGGCCTCACGCTCCGCCGCTGGGAGGTCCATGATGCTGGTGGCAGGAGAGCCGGTGAGGGCGCCGGGGGTACCGCCCCTTCTCTCCACCCAGAGTCCTCACAGGAGCCTGAGCCGAGCGAGAGGTGCGGCCTGTGCCCCGTAAACCAGCGCAGACCGCGCCCGCGGACGCAGACTTTATTCCAGATCCCTGACTCGGCTGTGCCGTGCTCAGACGCGGCCGAACCCTTTCATTCTTCTTCACAGGCACCGGGAGGGCGGCGTGGAGGGCTGTTTCTTTCTATAAGCGCGGCGTCCGGCTGGTGTGGGGGTCCGGGGGCCGGTGCTTCGGAGTGGGGCACGGAGTGAGGAGGAGGCACACGGAGTGGGGAGGAGGCACACGGAGTGAGGAGGAGGCACACGGAGTGAGGAGGAGGCACACAGAGTGGGGAGGAGGCACACGGAGTGGGGAGGAGGCACACGGAGTGGGGAGGCGGCACACGGAGTGGGGAGGAGGCACACGGAGTGAGG